CCACCCCTAAAGGGGCTGCCCCTTGGAGCTGCCACAGTCTCTCGACTGGTCTCCTAGCTTCCTCACTCGGACAACCACCCCATCCTTCAGCCATATTGCAGCCAAATGAGCTTTCTAAAGAGTGTCATCATCATTCCTCAAACACTGTTGCTTTCCACTGCTCTTGGGATAAATCCAAAATCTCCAGCCTCGGTGGTTGTAAGCCCCTCATTCTTTGGGCACCAGAAGTGCTTAGTTTTCTGTTTTCGTTTTCTTTTTTTACATATTTTTATTGATTTCAGAGAAGGAGAGGGAGAGAGAGATAGAAACATCAATGATGAGAGCGAAATACTGAATGGCTGCCTCCTCCACATCCCCCACTGGGGATCGAGCCCGCAATCCGGGCATGTGCCCTGACCAGCAATCCAACCCGTGAGGCTCAGCCAGGCTCACTTAGTTCTCTTTGGTTCAAGTGGATGCTATTGTTTCTACCTCAGGGCCTTTGGAATTGCAGTTCTCACCTCCTGTCAGCTCTTTCTCTCTCTTTTACCCGCTTTGCCTCTTTAACTCCCATCATCTTCGGGTCTCAGGTAGTCTCAGTCTTGGGGAAGCCCTCCCTGGTCCCCAAGGGCACACATTCTCAAGGTAGCCTCGAATTTTCCTCTGTCACATCTCTTACAGTTGATCATTAGACTTCGCATGGTTATTTCATCCATGTCTATCTCCCACCCCCATTCTCCTGCTCCCCAAAGACCATCAGCAGGATGTGGACCTGTATCCGGCAGAAGGACACACCTGGCCCAGAAATGCCCTGCACCCCAGGGGGGCTGAGATTTGGGAAGTACTTAACCCAGTCAAGAGGTCAGCCTCATCAACAAACGACAAGTGCTGGAGAGGATTGGAGAAAAAGGAACACTTGTGCACTGCTGGTGGGAATGCAGACTGGTGCAGCCACTATGGAAGACAGTATGGAGTTTCCTCAAAAAGCTACAAATGGAACTCCCATTTGACCCTGTGATCCCACTCCTAGGAATATATCCTAAGAAACCAGAAACACCAATCAGAAAGGATATATGCACCCCTATGTTCATAGCAGCACAATTCACCAGAGCTAAGATCTGGAAACAGCCTAAGTGCCCATCAGTAGATGAATGGATTAGAAAGCGGTGGTACTCAAACAGATTGGCAAACGGCAGCGGGAAGGCCGGGGAGGGTTGGGGGGCAGGAGGGAGGGGGGTAAGAGATCAACCAAAGGACTTGTACGCATGCATATAAGCATAACCAATGGACATAAGACACTGGGGAATAGGGGAGGCTAGGGGACTGTCTAGGGCGGGGGGGAAAAATGGACACATATGTAATACCCTTTGTAATAAAAAATAAAATTAAAAAAAAAAAGAGGTCAGCCTCACCCTGTTGCCAAAAGGTGTGGGGAGGAGGACCTGGGGGTGCGCCTACGCACCCTGAAAGAGAAAGTTCACGAGTGTTTGGAGAGAGAGATAAGGTGGCGCAAGAGCAGGAAATGAGTTCCGGGCAGCTGTTGGCTGAGGCAGGGCAGTTCAGAATGAAAGCGGAGATCAAAGCCACAGGAAGTGGGCTGTTGTTGTTTTTTTTCAGCAACGGAAGAATCTGATCAAAGCCACACTTTCCTGTCTGGGTGGGTAGGCCATTCATTCACTTATTCGCACGGCCATGCAACAAACATCAACAACTATGGAGGGAGCACCTTTCTGTGCCTGGGGACTCGGCCGGGAGTAAAACTCTCCCGAGGTTACAGGCAGCCAGCTCAGTGTCCAGGCCGGTGTTCAAACTTCAACCCATTTGGTGAACCACAGCCAGAATGTTAAGAAATGAAATGCATGGTGGGATGAAGTGCAATGGAATGGCATGGAAAACACGCTTATGGCTTGCTGAAGGTTTGGAGGACGGTTAGCATTGTTTAGCAATGAAGTATTTGTCCGTTACGGTATGCATATCTTTTAGACATCATGCTGTTGCACACTTAATAGACTACAGTGTCGTGTCGACATAAGTTTTATATGCAGTGGGAACCAAAAAATGTGTGGGATTCATTTTATGGCAGATTCCTGCTTCTGAGAAAGTCCTCTGGCAGAGCTGCAGGGTCGCAGGGCCAAGGGGACATGGACAGGGCACTGACCCTTTCTGCCAAAACCATCCTACCCCGTTTCCAGAGCATTCCGCAGTCCCCTGACTCATCTGCATTTGATTTAGAGTGATAACCCATGATCTCTAACTTCAGTCCTAACTTTTCTTCTGGTCTCCAAAACCTTCTATCAAACCAACCATCATCCAGATGTCTCCTTTTGGATGTCCCATGAGCACCTCAAATCATCAGGCCCTGAACTTAATTCATATGAATCCCGACCCCGCCACCAAGTCTACAAATCCAGTTTACGCTTGGGATGAACAGCACCACCATTGCCCAGTCACCCAAGCCAGAAACCAACTCCCTTCTCCCCATCACTCACAAGCCATCAATCACAGTCCACCAATCCTGTCGCTCCTCCATCCTCTCCATCATTGCCCAGCCTGAGGGTGCCTCACCCCCTGGCACCCAGGTCACTACATTGGCTCCCTGGTTGCCTTCCCCACCCCCAACAGGCCATCTCTGATGCAGCCCAGAGAACATTCCGGAACACAGATCTGGTTGTGTCAGTCCCATGATCCTTCATGCCTCCTCCCTCCCTGAGGATGAAGTCCAAACACCTCTACGTGAGGACTTCACATCTGGTGTCACCCCCTAGCCCACTTAATTTCCCCACACCATCATTACCTCCACCCCCCCTCCTACGCTCCAACTATTCTAGTGAGTCCTCGATCCCCTTAAACACATCTATTCCTTTGTACTTGCTGGACCCACTTTCGAAACTCAATAACCTCTGCTTTGTTCACCTGGCCTATACCCTTCTAGTCCCAGCTCAGCCCTGCCTCCTCTGGAAAGCCCACCTTGATTTCCCCCACACGTCCACCGTGCCTTACACATCCTCCTTTAGAGCAAAGACTCCACAAACTAGTCATGGTTTTTAACTGAAGATCCGCCTCCCCAACTAGCCCGTCAACTTCTTGAAGGCAGGGACACGATTTCATCTTCGTTTCCCCGGCACCGAGCACACAGACAGCCAGACTGCTCCCAGAAAATCCTCAGTAATTAATGGCCAACCAAAGAGGCGACTGGGCTCTGGGGACCTCAGTGGCTGAGCTGAGATGGGAGGCTGGATCCCTTCCCACCCTCGTGTCAATGTAGGGGACACACCTGTTAAGATGAGAGACAGCGTGGGGTAGCCCTTCACCTACCAGCCCGATGCTCCTGAACCCTGTCAACAGGGCCTGGGGTTGTTGTCACAGTCGTGGGGACAGGTGCACTGAGCCGTCCACACTCTCAGGACCAGAGGCGGGATCAGATCCACAGCCAGGCTTTGAACCTGCAGAGCTGGGAGTCTCTGTCCCACTGGCCATTGCAGACAGCCTTGGCTTCGGGGACACTTGGCTCTACCCAGGTGAACCAAGTGGCCATGAGCATCAGAGGACAGGCCTGGGTGACTCGGGACACATGCCTTCCTTCTCTGGGCTTCATTTCCCCACCTGCGAAATGGCAACTTGTACCAGGTCCACTCCAGCTTAAAAAACACTTAAATGTGTGATTTCAACTTTGATCTCACCAAGAAACAAGTCTGAGGGCCAGGGACCAGGGATGCCGTGTGGAAAGAACACAGTGTTTGGGGACGGCTACCCTCTGCCCAGCCTCTACCCTGGGTACCTTGTTACGCTAGCTGAGTCCCTTTACCTTCCTCGGTTTCCTCATCTGTAGAAGGGAATACGGAATGGCTGCCACACCATAAAGCAGCTGTAAGAAGAAAAGCGATGGCTTATGTGACATGCCTGGCACAGTGTTTTACCATAACCGATGCCATCAGTCTGTGGTTCCCTCCCCTGGGTGCTGGAAAGCACCTGGGAGTGCTGGGTGCCTCTCCAGCTCAGCCTGCAGGGTCCGGAGACTAGAAAATTCTACCCTCACTCACCTGGCCTCCTGGCTCCCCACCCCCCTAGGTGGCTTCTCTCACTGCCAAGCTCGGCTCCCGGCCTGAGTCTGGCTGAGGGCCGGAGTGGCCAGGTGAGCGTGGTTAGCCATACATGTGACCACCAAGATCCCAGGCCAGAGGGGCAGAGTCCAGAGTCACACTGAGGTCTGGGGGCTCTGACTCCAGTGCTCGTGTGGCCAAACACAGACCCCCATGTGGTGCAGGCCCATGGGCTCACTCACTGTCCAGCCACCCTCCCTCTGTCCCCAGGTGACCCCGCGCATTCCTGTGGTTTGGGGTTTGCTGGTGCGGTGGCTGTGACTGAAATCTGGGCACCCTCTCACCAGCTAATGGGGAGGGGGCTCTTCAAATGAGATTCCCGTGGTTTCCTCGGCCAAGGCATCTGTGGGGCAGAGAACAAACAATGTGGAATTAAATTTCTCTGGAAAAAAAAGGCTCCACAAGTGAAGACCTAAGCATCTCTCTGGGCGTAGGGCCCACGTCACTGGTGCCAGGCTGGACTCCCACTGCCATCCAGGCTCCGTGGTTGAGCAATCCCAGGTCCTGAGGCCATGCACCCCTTCCCCCCACCTCTCCACCCTGTGTCACCTCAGAACTGTCACCAGAGAAGGGCTCCAAGTTTTTCCAGACCCTGACCAGAGACAGCTGGGAGCCCCGAAACAGGAGCGTCCCCCTGGGACCGGTCCGCACCAGCTGTAGGTGGTGCTGCCACAGCCGCTGGCAGGGGGTATTTCAGGATCGGGGGGCAAAGACTAGGGGATGTGGTGAGACTGGCGGTCTCCCTGGGTCCCCAGACCCCAGCAGCATATTCTAGAGTGACAGACCCCAAGAGGCACAGAGAAAGCCACCCACTGACTTCCCCAGTTCCCAGCCCAACACCATCGTAGAGCCAGTTAAGAAAGGGCCCTGCACATGTAGTCTCCACACGATGGAATATTATTCAGCCATGAAAAAGCATGAAGTACTGATACATGCCGAACACAGGTGAACTTTGAAATCACGAAGCTGAGTGGAAGAAGCCAATCACAAAAAAATCACACATGGTATGATTCTATTTGCATCAAATATCCGGAATAGGCAAATCCATTAGCCAGTTTCCTGGGAGTCCAACTCCAGAGTCTAGACTTCTTTTCTTTATCCTCACCCGAAGATACGTTTTTCATTGATTCTAGAGAGAGAGGAAAGCAGAGGGCGAGACAGAGAGAAACATCCATGTGAGAGAGAAACATCACTTGATTGCCCCCCATACATGCTCCAGCCGGGGATCGACCCCACAACCTGGGTATGTACCCTGACCGGGAATCGAACCTAGGACACTTTGGTGCATGAGACGATGCTCCAAACAACTGAGCCACACCGGTTAGGGCCAGAGTCTAAACTTTTAACTCCTACACTGTGTTGCCTCACAAAATCTTAAAGAATTCAAGTCCCCTGACTCCCCATCTGGGGTCAGACACTGTGTTAACCATGACACTGCTGTGCCCTCTCCAACATTTTGGTGACTTCCCATATAAAGACGTTTTTTTTCCACAGGTACAATGGCCATGGGTCAGGCCCAGGCCCCTCCCACTGACTGCAGAGAGGGCCTTGACATCTCCCCTGAGCCCTTCACATCAGGCCATCAGACAGAGAAGAGAATGAGCCAAAGGGGGTGTTTTAAGGGTCAGACTAGGATAATGTGGCATGGTTCACATCTCTTTGGCCGTGTTGCGCTGTCCAGAACTCAGTCCGCGGCCCCATCTAACTACAGGGGAAGCTGGGAAATATAGTCTCACTCTGCCCAGAAGGAAAGGAGATCTGAATCTGGGGGAAAGACAGCATAGGCACAGTCATGGATGCCACGCCCTTTGACCACATGGCTCCAGGCCGGCTGTGTGTGAAGAGCTGCAGGTGCAGCCAAAGTCATCAGAGCTAAGCTCAAGACATGAAAACAAGGGTGTGCACGCAGGCGGGGCCAGAAAGGTGTGAGAGCAGTGAGTGTGCTCTTACTCACCTGCTAGGCGCAGCAGGAGGCCTTGGGTATCCAATGAGTTCAACTCGAGCTTAGGGGTACTCGGGATCACACACAGTACTCACCCCCTCTCCCAAGCTGGCCAGGGACCCCCTTCTCCAGGCAGATGGCCCAGCAGCTTGGGCTACGGCGGCTCCTGGTTAGGAGTAGGGCACAGGCGCTGATGTCCCTAGGTGTGTCCCTATACCTTCCCTCTCTCAGGGACAGTGAGGACCCATGCAGGGCCATCTGAGGGTGACAGTGCTGAGCCCCATCCTGTCTGGTTTGGGACACAGGTGGCTGGTTTTCTTTTCAGATTTAACTCTGAGGTGTACGAAACAGCGAACTATGCCCCGAGCCAAAGACAAATAAATTTGTCCAGAGAGGACACACGACATACCCCTGAGCAGAGTGACCCAGATGGCCTGTCATAAGGCAGGAAGGGGCCAGGAAGGAACAGAACACTAATAAGAAGCATGTTTGCCCTAGCCGGTTTGGTTCAGTGGTTGGAGCGTCAACCCTCGGACTGAAGGGTTGTTGTGGGTTCGATTCTGGTCAAGGGCATGTATCTCGATTGTAGGCTCAATCCCCAGTCCTGGTCAGGGTGCCGGTGGGAGGCAACCAATCTCTGTGTCTCTCTCACATTGATGTTCCTCTCTCTGTGTCTCTCCTCCACCCCACCTCTCTCTCTAAAAATCAATGCAGGTGAGGATTAACAAAAATTAACAGAAAGAAGCATGTTCACACCTGTCCTAGGCATGGACCTGCTTCCCCAGAGAGCACCAGTTCTTGGGACCACAGAACACCTGTCCCTCTGGGGGCCGCACTGACCAGCCTGCACTGCCTCCACATGTCTCTGTGGGGGTCAGGGGAGGCCCTGAAGGCAGGGACCTGAGTTTCAGTCTGGCTCTGTCAGCACTTGCAATGGGTCCTAAGCCCCCTCACTCTCTGTGTCTCAAGCTGACCCATGGTCCAGTGAGATCTGACCTCCAGAGTGAAGTGCGCATGCCCTCAGGCAACAGGAGGACCTGCTGGCACGTGGAAAGAAAATTTTGAAGTTCAATGTACACATTTACATGCATTTCTGTCTAAAGTAGGGAAGTTCGGCTCTACCGATATTTAACATCCAGTCTGACCTGGGTGCTGGGTGTGTTTTTGGCCAATTGTGTCCCCCCACATTAGTCAACATCTAGGGGGAGGAGCAGAGAACTTGGGGGCAGCCTCCTCACTCTCTTGCTCAATTTTCAACACATGGTGACATACTGCCATTTACATAGGCCCAGTTCAGTGGAATTTGCAGATTGTAGTGTGATTCACACTAAATTAATCCGCCTTTCAACAAGACAAGTGGCCTAAAATGATCTCTGCAAAGAAACACCAAGAAAATAGCAGCACTTCACCTTAATCCTAGGATGTGATTTCCCCTGATGCTCCAGGGAGGGGAGACAGGGTTGTCTGTTGAGAGTTACAGCAGATGTCATTCCAAAAATGACATCTCTTTTCATCAGGGTCAAGGTGACGTTTAAACAGCTGTTGGGGGAGGACCTTTTTTGGAAGGAACATAGTATGATTTGGAAGTAACGTTTCAAAATGTTCTCATCGTTATATGATTTTGTCATTGAAAACCTTGTGTGTTCCCAAGAACTTTTATAGCTACCCTTAAACACACACACACACACAGAGAGAGAGAGAGAGACAGAGAGAGAGAGAGAGAGAGAGAGAGAGAGAGAGAACAAAAAGGAATTTTTTAACTTGCTTATAAAACTCTTCCAAATGAAGTGTTTGAGTGGGTTTTAAACCCATTTGCAAAAAGCATTAAAATGCAACATATTCCGATTTCGTTGTGAGGACAACTGATTGACATGAGGGAAGATGGAAATTTGAAAGTCAATTTTGAACAAAACTTTTGCATAATGGGTAGATGGCATTGAAAATTGAAAATTGAATGTCATAATTTAATGAGCCAGGCCCACAATGCGTGGCATTCGTCTGGGGCTAGGTATCATCATGAGGCCCCCTCTTCAGCTGTGACAGCCTTTAACACTGAATATTGCAATAAACCAAATTTAGTCCCAGGCCTTCACGTCGCTCTTCCACAAAGTGTTAAACCAGGATTTTCAAAAATAAAGAAGCACATTTAATGGCATGGCTCTCATTGTCAGAACAAAAAGGGATTTTGTGCCATTATTAAGTGAAATGCCATAAACATTACTTTAAAACTGTACTTATTACATTTGTCATTTTTGTTTATATTGTTTTATAATGTACACAATATAATATACATGTATAATTTATTTATATAAGCATAATGTACCTGATCATGTACATGTATTTTTAAATGTGCATACTAATGTATATTCATGTATCTAGTTCATGTACATAATTTATAAAGCTCTATGTATATAATTTATAAATACATAGATACCAGGGGTGCCTGCTTAACATTTTTTACCGATGATGTATGAGCAATCAAGTTTGAGTTCAAGGACGACTGAGCACCTCTGGGCCCCTCCAGCTCTGGTATTAGAGTCTTCAGGGGACCCACCCTGTATAGGTAGGGCATTCATAAGAAAGATATTCCCGGATTGGGCCTCACCTATCACACAGGTAGAGTTTCAGGCATGCACACTTTTCTAAAGTTTTTTTAGTCGATTTTTTAGAGAGAGAGGGAGAGGGAGAGAGAGAGAAACATCCATGTGAGAGAGAAACAACTGGCTGCCTCTTTCATGCAGGGAATGAACCTGCAGCCTGGGCATGTGCCCTGACAGGGAATGAATCAGACCAGCAACCTTTTGGTACACAGGACGCCCACTACACCCAACCCACCGGCCAGGGCCAGGCATGCCCATTTTACAGCTAAGACGTCAGAGGTGCGGAAGAGTAAAATCTGAGACGTATTCCACCTCCTATCGGCATCCCCATCATAAAGACCAGAATCCCCTCCCCTCGGATAATCCCCTCACTCTCCTCCTCACCCCTCCCACTGCCACAGGAGAGTGAAAACGAGACTTCCCTCCTGCTCAGAGGGAATCGGTGGCCCTGAGAGGGTCTTTCCTGGTGGGCCCAGCAAACCGGCCTTGGAGAGTAGGTGCACATGCAGGCAGCCAGAGCACAGTCTGGCCTTTTACCTGCTCTGCTCTCTCTGCACCTGGATGCAGAGCCTGGTTTTTGGTCACCAACATCCTCACTCTCCTCTCTGCTGGGAATCGCTGCCTCACGTGCTACAGAGAGAGCCACAGAAGTTCAGGAGCCTACCCACCCATGTCAGCTCTCTGCCCCATCGTAGCAAAGAACATCCCTTCCCCAATCTTTGTATCTGTGCCTACCCCAAAGAAGGGAGAGTCGCAGGAAAAAGCAGGCCTGCACCTCTGCTACCCTCACAGGGGGCTCATCACCTGCCTGGAGCAAAAGAATTGTTCCATGGCACAAATACGTTCATGCCGTTCCCTCTCTGCTCTGCTCTGCTTGAAAGCTTCCTCTAGAGGGTATATGCTAAGTGACATAAGCCAGATAGAGAAAGGCAAATAACATGTGATTTCACTTATATGCAGAATCTTAAAAAAAATAAATAAATAAACAAACGAAACAGAAACAAACTCATAGATACGGAGAACATTTTCATGGTTGCCAGATGGGAGGGGTTTGGGGGGGATGGGTGAAAAAGAGGGGAGGATTAAGATGTGCAAATTGCCAGTTATAAAATAGTCATGGGGATGTAAAGTACCGCATAGGGAATATAGTCAATAATAGTGTAATAGCCCTAATGAGAGAGGGAGAGGGAATAGAGCATCAGCCTGCGGACTGAAAGGTACCAGGTTCGATTCAGTACCTTGGTTGCGGGCACATCCCCAGTAGGAGGTGTGCATCCCCAGTAGGAGGTGTGTAGGAGGCAGCTGATAGATGTTTCTCTTTCATCGATGTTTCTAACTCTCTATCCCTCTCCCTTCCTCTCTGTAAAAAATCAATAAAATATATTTTTTTAAAAAAATAATTAATAGTGTAATAACTGTGTATGGATGGTGTCAGATGGGTGCTAGGCTTATTGGGGTGGTCACTCCGTAAGTTATTTACATGTCTAATCACTATGTTGTACACCTGAAACTAATATTTATTGCATGTCAACTGTAATGGAAAGTTTTAAAAACATTTTTTAAATAAATAAATGTAAATAATTTTTTTAAAAAATGCTTAAGCTTCCTCTGTATCTCCATTGCTCACAACAGAAAAGCCAGGTTACCTAGGGCAACCCACAGGTCCTTCTCCCCCCACCCAGCCCACCTGCATCAGTCACCTGGCAGGAAGCAGAAACCACATGAGCTAATTTCAGCGGAAAGGAATTTCATGCAGGTAATTCGGTACTTACTAAATCACTGGGAGGGTTAGACCAGCTGGCGACACCTGCAGGAATGTCTCCCAGAGACACCCTCTGGGTGGAGGGGATGGGACAACAGGACCCACCTTGGAACTGCCCCCTCTGGCATCATCAAGAAGATAAGGAATCAGGAGCCACCCAGACTCTGTTGCCTTCAAGAACCATCACTTAACTAATAGAAGGGTCAGGAAGTCATTTCAGCGACAACCCACACCTGTGTGCTAGGTGCTGGAAGGCAGCTGCCCCAAAAACCCAGTGTCTCCATAACCGTGCAGACCTGCAGCAGCAGCAAGCCACCTCCCCAGGCCATCCTGCCCAGCCAGAATTCCAGCCGCAAGGGAGGTGAGAAATGCAGCAATGCAGCGGCCAGGAAGGCTCAGCAGGGGAAGACAGGGTAGAGGCAAAGCTAGACACACATTGTCTTTCCAAATTCTTCGTCCAACAGTCTTCCCTCACTCACCCTGAATTCCAGCCACAGAGACCTCACCAAGGGTCCCCGGAACACCCCAGGCCAAGCTGGTCACCAGCCCCCTCCACTTCGAATGTCCTTCAAGAACCTGAGATACTTTCTCTGACTCCCTCAGGCAGGGTTTACTGCAGCCCAAAGTTGTCCAAATTAAGTAATTCTACATTTTCTAGTAACTGCATGTGGTAGGTTGAATAATGGCCACCCCAAAATATCAAATCCTAGCCCCTATCACGCTTACCTAATTTGCAGCTGTAGTTAAGGATTTCAAGATGAGATCACCCTGGATTACCCAGGTGGGTCCTGGATGCCATCACAAGCGCCCTGACAAGGGAGAAGCAAGATGAGGTAAGAGAGGAGAAGGCCGAGCCAAGAGGAGGCAGAGACTAGAGCGATGGGGCCGCAAGCCCAGGGATTCTGGGGCAGCCTCAGGTGGGAGAGGCAAGGACCACATTCTACCCTGGTTATTTTTTATCGAACCCAATATCAACATAATATTATCATTTCAACGTGTAATTAATGTAAAACATGATGAATGAGGTTGCTTACGTTCTCTTTTTTCACACTAAGTTTTTGAAATCTGATGTGCACCTTACACCTATAACAACATCTTACTTCAGACAAGCTGCATGGGCCCTATGGGATGGCACCGTCTCAACAGATTTTTTAAGGCCATACATTGACGTGAAAATTACAGAGTTCATGATGGAAGCACATTAGGAAATGGTGTGAAAGCAAAGGCTATATGCTCTGTGATTGACAGAAGCAGGGGTGATTGGGTAGTGAGTCCCCGGGAGAAGGTCCTCCAGCCTAGCGCCAGCCTGAGTTCAAAGCTCCGTTCCCAGATTAAAAAGAAAAAGAAGGAAAGACAAAACCTGTGCTCGGCCTCCATTCCAAGGAGCCCCTGTGCTGCCCCGGGTGGCCCCGGCCAGACGGGCCCGGGAGGCGGCTGTGGGAAGGGTCGCCTGCCCACGGCCATGCCGCCTTCCCAAGGTCAAGGACTTCACTCCCTGCAAGCTCTGCCAATCCATGGCCCCGCCCCTGGTAGGCACATGGTCAGAGGAATGCCCAGATCCAGCGCACCTTGGTCTTAACAAGTCCCTGCCCAGCCAAGCAGGTCTCCCCTGATCAGGTGATGCCTGTGGGGCCAAGGCGGGGGCCGAGGGCCGGGGAAGCAGGGAGTCTGGGAGCCCTTCACACAAGCCCAGCCCCAGCCCCGCTCAGGCCAGGCCAGGCCCCCACCCGAGGCCTCCCTTCCTTGTGCTGGAGCCAACCCTACCTGAGTCCTGAGCCCACAGACAAGGGAGGGGTGGGGCCTGGCGGCTGTGAGCCACAAGTAGGGCCCTGAGGGGAGGAGGGAGGGCAGGATAGTGGGTGCTCTTAAGTCTGAAGTGAACTACGCCTCCCTCACTCCTCACCTGGCCTCTGAGCTGTCTTGATCCCAGGAGCCAGAAGTGAACACAGCCGCTGCCTGCCCTGGACCCCAGGTAGGTGCCTTTATTCTGCAAGGAGCTTTATGCAAGCACCTTCCCAGCGGACTCGTTTAACCCCGTGTCCTCTGCCTCTCCACTTCTGGGGCCCGGGCTCAGAGCGCAGGTGGGGAGAACTGGGGAAGAGGCTGTGGCTGAGACACATGGTCTCGGGACCGCAGACCCCAGGGTTTAACGCTTTGAGGGAGCAAATCTGTACCCTTCTGAGTGCAGATGAGAGAACCAAGGTGCAGGGAGGGGAAGAGGTTTACCCAAGATCACGGAGACTCGGGAAGGGACGGGCACAGAACCAGGCCTCCTGCCTCCCAGCCTGGTCCTGAGCCCTGGTGCTGGGTCCCTCAGGCTGCTGGGCACCCAGAATGGGGGGACCATGGCCTTCGCTGGTCCTGCGGTCCCCGGGTCTGGGTGGAGGGGATGGGACAACCGGAAGCCATTCTACCAGGATGGGGTTGAGTCGGGGTTGGACTACTGGGACAAGGGGCTTTGGGGGAGCCTCGGGCGTCCCTCTCTTCTACCCGCTGCCTTCGCTGACCTGGGCTTGCGGGAGGTTGGCTATGAAGCAGAGGAGATGTGCCAAGCTAGCAGGATCCCCCGCCTCCCGAGCCCTTGGGAACAAAGAAAGATCTGAGTCAAAATCTGAAGGGGGAGTGGGTGGGAGGGATATATAAATAGAACTGAGCTGGCTGGAGCCCTCTATGCCCACCATGTACCCCCACCCACCCCTACACACACACACACAGCCCTGAGCCCCAGACACCCTCCCCTGCCCCTCAGAGCAGGAAAGAAAGCTAGTGGTGGGCAGGATGTCCAGGAATAAAACACTGAGCCCAGGCCCTGCCTGGGGAGGTCCAGGGTGATTCGGGGATTGTTCAAAGCGAGAAGAGTGTGAAAAAGAGCCTCCCAGCTTTGTCCCTCAGGTTCCAGAATCCCAGGATGGAAAGAGGTGAAAGGGGCCCTAAATCTATGAAGCGGAAGCTAAGGCATCGGGCGTGGGAGCCTCAACCACCCAGGTTCCGGTCCCAATCCCACCACCGGGTCCTGTGGGCTGTGTAATCTTAAGCAAATCCTGAGCCTCTCCAGCCCCACAGGAAGAGTACCCGCCTCACAGACCATTGAGAAAATGAAATGAGTACGTCTTAAGTACGTATCTGTCATTATATTGTCCCCATTATATAGATGGGACAAGTGAAGTCCAGGGCGGCACAAAAGCAGTTTCCAAATCAGTAGGCAGGCATCCTGGGTTCTCCTCCTGGGGGGAGACCCAGGCCCCCGATGTCCTCCATAAAGTCAACACCCCAGCCTCCTCTGCGGGGCCCAGACAAAACCCTGCAGGGCACGCTGAGATCCTGCCCCAGCAAAGCCAGGCCTCTGAGAGCACGTGAGAGAAAAGCCACGGCTCCGTGTCCTCAGCTGCCCCCAGGCAGGAGCCCAGAGGCCGGTTCCCCTCCACTGCCATTTATAGACACGCTGCAGGAGCCTGGGCTGTGCCACCCGCTCCAGGACCCGGCCAAGGAGAGGTCTGGCAGGGGCCTGGCTTTTCTCATTCACTTACTGTGTGACTTGGGCAAATCACATCCCCTCTCTGGACCTCAGGGGTCCCTCTGCACTTGAACTCAATGTGGTACAAGGAGTTAAGAGTCCAAAGTCCCGCGGCCTGGGTTTGAATCCCAGCTCTATCACTTTTCTTAACCTCTCAGAGCCTCGGTGTCTTCATCTGTAAAATGGGCTAGTGCAGAACTTCCTCGGAGTGTGAGAGGAGAGTTAGCAGATGTAACACACATAGATGAGCTCCTGGCACGTGGTGAATGCTCGATAAGTGGGAGCTGTTATTGTTTTTTCTTATGAAGTTGTTATACTCTAGACAAGCCCTTATTTCTAAGTAGTATTTCGAGTTACCCAACTGCTTTTTCAAGCAGCACCTCATTGGT